TTCCAGTGAAAGTCCTATTGTAAGTGGTGTCCTACAAGGTACCGTTTTAGGTCTTCTTTTGTTCTTGCTTTACATAAATGATATTTCGGCAGTAGTTAAACATTCTCAATCATTTATTTATGCCGATGATCTCAAATATGTAAATTCTTTCAAAAAATCTACGAGCCTTCATTGCCTGGAGCAAATCCATGCTGACTTGCTTGCTCTCTCAGCTTGGAGCTCAAAATGACTAATAGGAACCTCTCCGTCTAAATGTCGCTATATGTGTTTTGGACCTGATAGGCTACCCCAACCAGTGGTCTTTCAAGGCACACCTATGACTGAATGTACCATAATCAAGGATTAAGGTTTAAGCTACACTAGTAATCTTGATCTCTCGCCACACGCTGATAGAATTACAGCCAAAGCTGCCCAGATTTGTGGCCTTATTTCTTATAATTTCTAACTTCCTGAAATTAAATTAAGGCTCCGTCGTATGTTTGTACTTACTATTCTCGAGTATTGTTGCTCATTCTTTGGTTTGATGAATGAAGTTAGTCGTTTAAAAATTGAAAATGTCCAAAGACGTTTTTCTAAAAAACTTTTAGATAAGGAACATCCAAATATCTCCTACTCAGATAGATGCCAGCTAATTAACTTAAAATGTTTATCGGTTCGAAGACTAGAAGCGGGCTTCTATCTCCTCTTTCGCATTAATCATAGTTCAAATTTCCTCGGATTTCAGCACTCACCCCCTAGTAGTCGCCCATACAATCTTCGCAACTCGTCCTTGATTATACCTCCGTCAGCTTCCTCCACCTCTAAGCGCTCCCTTTTTTCGTTTCCAGATATACTTTCTTCTGGAATAACCCTCCAATACATATAAGATCTTCAGACAATCTACACACCTTTAAGAGAAGACTACGCCTTTATCTGAATACTCACTCGATTAAACTTTTATTTTCCTCATCCTTCCCAGACAACTTTTTCTATGACATTGAGAAAGGACCACCGGGATTTTAGTATGCCGCCAGTAAATTTCCGTATCTGTTCACATTTCCTTCCTTTGTGAGTAGTCTCGCCTCCCAAGATCCCTCACCAGAAATGTTAATTTTTCCAAATTTTCAGTTAATGCATCGTGCCCTCACAGAATGCGCTCCATCGACGCTCTTGGCGAAACCTTCTGTATTTGCCATATACTAGTAGTCTGGTTGCATCTCCCTTGCCCCATCCT